AGGACAGCTGGGGCTACAGGGAGATCCTGTCTCAAAAAAACCAAAAAAAAAAAAAAAAGGCATCAACTAAGAAAAAATTGAAAATAAAAACCCTTACTATAATTGGGATGAATGGAACGAGCCTGCAGGGCACACTGAGCCAAAGACCTGAAGGCAGAGGACATCCCCCCAGTGCCTCCTTCAGCATTCTGTTTGCTGACCCCTTCTAGGCACATGACTCTCACTCTAACCGCTTCAAGACAGCAATGGACCTAGTCTTCCTGCTGTAGCACTTATCAGGAAAATCTTCCTGCTTGACACTGAGGAGCAGCAAGAATGGTTTCAATTTTCCTCAATGCTCTGTCATAGTTTGCACTCAGTGACTATTTTAAGCACCTTGATTACCTTATGATAGTATGTTTTAAATCTTTTATAGTCATTATTTACATTAATTTTGAGATAGAGACTCAAATCCAAAGGACTTTCTCTACTTTTGTATTTGTGAAAGCATTCTGCAGGCGGTTAGCATTGTGTTTGGACGTCCTCGTCCTCTGATGACTGCTCAACTCTCCTCGAGCAGTGAAGCCCAGGAAGCCTTTCTATTGTGGAAATCCACTTTCAGTGTTTCTCCTTCCGTGGGACAGGAACAAGTCTTACTGCATGGGCAAGGGAGGCAGTGACAGATATGGCAATTCAGAAGAATGAGGACAACCCCAAAAGCTACCTTTGCAGCAGCAGCTTAACTCTCCCCAGCAACTACCCAGTTTTCTTAACTCTCCCCAGCAACTACCCAGTTTTCTTAACTCTCCCCAGCAACTACCCAGCTTTCAAGTCTGGAATCTGGAATTCTCTCATTGGCTTTTATTTTTTTCAGGGCTAGAGATAAAACCTGGGGCCTCATATAGGAAGTGTTCTACTTATTTATTTTAAATTCAAAAATTCTCAAAGCTCCATGAAGATTTAACAATAGATATTATCTACTGCTTATACCTTTACACCTAATTAATTTTGGGGGTTTTGGGTTTTTTTTTTTTTTATCTTTTTGAGACAGGGTCTCCCTATGTAGCCCCAGCTGTCCTGGAACTCACTATGTAGACCAGGCTGACCTTAAACTCACAGAAGAGATCCGCCTGCCTCTGCCTCCCAAGCTCTGGGATTTAAAGGCATGCACCCCCACGCCCAGCCTAGACCTAATTAATTTTAAAAAATATTTTATTT